GCCAGATCTCAGCACAATCACTTTAACCCTCTGCGCCACATCATAGCCTACCCACCTCTCTGTTTTTCCAGCCTGGACCGATGTCAGCGAATAGTGCACGGTGAGCAGACGGTGCTCAGGCATTCGTAGGTCTTGCCCTAGCCATCCAAGAGGATGCTGTGAAATTACTTTGCTCAAAGGAAGACTATCTGATCCTAGCACCTGCCGTCTGAGTTCATCGTTATTCACGCGATGTTCCCACCATACGCGAGTGGTGTTGCGCACACAACGATTGTCGAAGACTGATAGTCGCTGGACGTGATCTGCTCTGAGAGATCAGGTCTCGCAGCCACAGAGCAACACCGTGCGTGGCGTTGCCCAATACACACGCTCTTTCAGTGAAAGGGATATGTCGTACCGGTGCCAAAGATGCCACAGATTAGTACACGCAAATCTAGCTTTGATCACGCGTTGACAGATATCCGGCAGCGAGCTACGTCTGCCACGTCATAGTGCTCTTCCCAGATATGTACAGCAATCTCCGGCTATGTCGCACTCCTGAGAAGTCGTCTTTTCCAATATCTTTCAACTTTATCGAAAACCCAAACCAACCATTTCAGTTTCAGTTTTAACAACCATTAACCACGCATATTCGTGCGCCGGTTTCGGTTGCCGTCTTTTGGCTACCCATTAGGATGAAGAATAGGAGAAGACACGAAGGTTCAAAGTGGAGTCGAAAAGAAAATGGAGAAGTTCATTGGTCTAAGGTTGCAAAGAGATTGAGAAGATGCACGAACACCACTGTTTACGACACCCAACCATATCACCATATCGGTTGCGATCATCCCGAGGTCCCCAGCCAGGGAGCCTAACACTACCTATGTGACCCAGTCTCCTGGTTACGGTCTTCATACCCTCGTGCCAGGTCTTAGCGTGATCACCCTTGTCTTTTTTCCACTCGGTGTTTGCTTCGGCGAACATCGCTCGCCATGGTAACTTATCTGGTGACATGCGTAACACATGTCCCAACCAACGTAATCTATGGAGGTCGACCACTTGCTCCAGTGGGCGACCGCATTTATCCAAAACTCTGCGTCTAACCTCAGTATTGCTCATCCGGCTACCCCACCAGATTCGTGCAATGCTGCGTAGACAGCGGTGTTCAAACACCGACAATCTGTCTTTACCCTGTTTCCTTTATGGCCAAGTATCTGCACCGTATAGTAGGACTGGCCGAACTGTCGCGGCATACAGTCGACCCTTCACAGACAGCCGGATGTCGCGACGGCGCCACAGATGTTTCAAG